ATGCCTGTCTCTCTGCCTGGCGCACTGCATGTCAATCGAAAGGCGCGAGCCCACCTTTTCCATTCCCTCCACTGCACCACTGCATGCAACCCTGACAGCCGACCTCGTCTCGTCAAGCCCACGGCTCTGCTTAGAGGAACGGCGAAGCCTGCTGAAGCAGGTGGAACTGGTGTCTGATATGGCTGCGGAAACAACACCTATTGCGGAGGATCGATGAAGAGACTGAAATAAAAACCTGTTCCCGCCTGTTTGGCCGATTCTTGCTTACGTTGCTCTTGACATTCCAGCCCTTTCTCGACGTTATCAATTAGTCCTCTCTTCGGTCGTCCCTGATAGGAGTCGCAGGACACAAAGTCACAAAAGTCGACGACATTCCAAGTCGGGCAGGGCATGCTGTCCGCTTTTTGAGTTCCTTCGGTGGCAACCCAACGGAGCTGTGGATCGCAGAATACTTGTCTTATTAGTAAACCCTCTGCACCTCTTGTGCGCGCCCTTTGATCTGACATGTCGGCAGTACACGGTGCACCCTCAGTGCCACTCACGCCCTTGACCCCACGAGTCTCGGCGACATGGACGAGTTTGTCAACTGGGACCAAGCCGCCGACTCGGCCCTGGCGCCGGATGCCAGTCTCGACATGCTATCGTCGTCTCTGCTGCCCGCCACCACTAGCCAGGCGCTCGAGGACCTCGACCTGGCGCTGGCCGACGTGGATGGCGATGACTTCTCATTCTGGGCCCTGCAGCACTTCGAGAACAACATCTCTCCGACGCTCGCCGCTGGCGATGAGATCCCCATGCCCACCGACAGGTCCACGAGGACCTTTGAAGACCACCTGGAAATTGCCCTGACCCCCTGCAATAACTGCCAGCTGGGCAGCTATGAGTGCAAGCGCATCCCCGAGGGTCAGTACAAGGGCTACTGCACGAGCTGCGTCGCCCTGCGCTGTGAATGCAGCTTCGGCCTTGCCTCTGCCTTCCCGGCGAACCCCTGGCCCGTCATGGGAGACCACCCGAGGATGCTCCAGGAAGACATCCACTGCGGCGAGCCCCATCCGTCCGGCTCGGCCACCGACCTCTCAGGCATGGCGTCCACGTCCGGCGCCGAAAACACGGCCGCGAACGCGGGCTCATCAAAGGCCAAGGCCGGTGCCCGTTTCTCCAGAGAGTCGGTCAAGATCCTGAAAAACTGGCTGTCGACGCATAGCAAACACCCCTATCCCAACGACGAGGAGAAGGACATGCTCCAGAAGCAGACGGGCCTCAGCAAGACCCAGATCACAAACTGGCTCGCCAACACCCGCCGCAGGCACAAGAACGCCGTCGTCCACCGATCGACATCGCCAGGAGTGCGCAAGTGGTCGAGCCCCATCGACATCCCGCAGAGACGCGGGACGCCCGCTTCTCTCGAGTTCATGAACCCGCTGCAGCGTTGGCAGCACTCGCCGCCCGAAAACGAACCCGCGTCCGTGACGGCCATTGCCCGCGCCGTCAACTCTGCCGCCGACACCCTGTCCTCGGGCCTCAATAGCCCCTTCAGTGCCAACTTCACCGACGATGGTTCCGGCCGCTCGCTCTGCGACTCCAACATCAGCAGCGCTAACACGTCACATTCGAGTTCCGCCTACTCGTTTGGCTCGCGCGGCTCCTTTGGCTCCGGCGGATCCATCCCGCGCGGACGCAGGCGGAGGAGGAGGAAGGTCCCGACCGCCGCGGCCGCCGCCACCCCTCGCACCGGCCCGGCCAAGACCTTTCAGTGTACTTTCTGTACCGAGACCTTTCGGACCAAGCACGACTGGCAGCGACACGAGAAGTCGCTGCACCTGTCCCTCGAGCGCTGGGTGTGCTCGCCCAACGGCGCCCAGGCCTGCAGCCCGGAGAACGGCCAGATGTCGTGCGTCTTCTGCGGGCACGCGAACCCGGACGAGGCGCACATCGACAGCCACAACTACGCCGCCTGCCAGGAGCGGACCGTCGGCGAGCGCACCTTTTACCGCAAGGACCACCTGCGCCAGCACCTCAAGCTGGTCCACGGCGCCAAGTTTGAGAACTGGTCCATGGAGCAGTGGAAGGCCACCACCCCCGAGATCCGCTCCCGCTGCGGGTTTTGCGGAACCATCATGGACACGTGGTCCATCCGTGTAGACCATCTCGCCGAGCACTTCAAGAAGGGCAAGTCCATGGCTGACTGGAAGGGTGACTGGGGTTTTGATGCCCCCGTCATGGACATGGTCGAGAATTCGATTCCGCCGTGTGAGTTTTCCTCCTGTTGTCTTGGTGGCGGCGGCAATGGCTAACCGTTGTTGGAAAAAGATCTTATTCACGACGAAAGAAACTCGCCAAACCCCTACGAGGCGTCGCGACCGTCGGCCACGTCGGCCCGGCATGCGTTTGAGCTCATCAATACCGAGTTGAACTTTTACGTCGAAGACTGGCGAGAGAAGGAGGGCAGGCCGCCCACCGACGAGGAGCTCCAACGTGCCGCATGTCGCTTGGTGTATGACTCGGAGGAGGCCTCGCCGGCCTCGGATGCGTGCAAGGCCTCGTGGCTGCGGGATTTGCTCTTCTCCTCCGAACGCCTTAGGCAAGAAGCCAGATGGACCATAATCAAGGGCATTGACTGTTGGCAGCAGCTCACCATCAACGCCAAGGCCAACATCTTCGAGCTCGATCCCATGGAGAGCGAACTCCAGCAGTTCGTCAAGGCGCGCCGCTTGCTGGGCTTGACCGCCATGGACAGCGAGCTGCAGACCGAGGCACGCAACATCATCCGGCGTATGCATGACAACTCCAGGCTCCCGTCGGACGAGGTGACGCAGTTCTTGTTCCGGCTCGTCGGCAGTTCGACCGAGTGGCTGGCCGACTTTCGGCAGCGCGCTCACCTGCCACGCTCCGAGGACATTGCGGACGAGGGGATGCGCCCCAAGGACCCTAATACCATCGACTCGACCGTGTTCAACCCCAGCAGGCTGGAACACGAGTTGGCCGAGTACGTGCGGGAGCAAAGGAGCCTCGGCGTCGAGCCCACCGATGCCGACTTACAGCTCAAGGCCCGCCTGATCATCTACGAGTACAACGACGGCTGGAACCAGACCGCCGCGGACGATACCTTCTGGCTGGCGGCCTTCAAGCGCCGGCATATGCTGCAGGTGTTCAGCACACCGTCCTTGTCTGGCGGCGAGCAGCTGCCAGCGGCCGAACCATGGCGCGACTCCGCATCAGCCTCCAACATGAGCCCCGCCAGCGGTGTTACGTCCTCCAGCGGCAGCGGCAGCGGCAGTGGCATCGCATGTGCCGCTGCCCTGCTTGGAGGCGGCGGCTACTACCTCAACGACTCCAACTGCTACCAGCGCCTGGCCCGCGAGCTCAAGAAATGGGTCGCCTCGACCATGTCGCCCAACAACCCCAACTGCCACGTCCCAAGCGACGAAGAGCTGCAGCACCAAGCCCGCTGGATCGTCTACGAAGAGTGAGTCCCCTACCTTGCCAACCACCATCTCCCCACCCCAAAACCTATCCTCACTAACCTTCCCTTTTTCCTTCAGTGATGACCCCTGGAACCAAACAGCAGCCGACAACCTCGAATGGCTCCGCCGCTTCAAGCGCGACGCGGGCCTGCTAACGGACCCGTCGCTGCCGGGCCTGCCCACCACCCTCGCCTGGAACATAGCCCAGGGCGGCTCGGGCTTCTCGCCCCCCTACCTCTTCCCCAACCCGTCCAAGGCGGCCCGCATCGCGCCCTTCTTCCAGACCGAGGGCCCCAACAACAACAACACCGGCACCGGACCGGACGACGCTCGGGCGCCCCCGCCACCCCTGCTGGCCGTCACGCTCGTCGAGGGCTCCAAGCCGCTCGCCGCGCAGCCGGCGACGGCGAACCGCTTCGTCCAGGGCCTGGCCGACGCCAGGCGGCACGACCCGCCCGGCGCCGTGTTTTGCTCAAGGGAGCTGGAGAGGGAGCTGGGCGAGTTTGTGAGCGGGGAGGTGGTAGCGGCCAACAAGGGGTTCCCTAGCGAGGAGGCTATTCGGGAGCGGGCGAGGGCGTTCTTGGGCGTGGAGAGGACGCCGGTGGATGATGGGGTCTTGCTGGGGAGGTTTGTGGAGATTATGAAGGGCAGGTTGGGGTTGGTTGGTGGTGGTGGTGGTGGTGGTGGGGCTGGGAGGGAAGTGCAACAGCAGCAGCAGGTGGGCTCGGTGGACGGTGGCTTGGCTGCCGCTGCTGCTACGGCCACGGCGGCGGTGGCCTTGGGGGATATGGACTTCTCCGGGGTCGAGATGAGCGCGGAGCTGGACGATGTCCTGCAGCACATGGACTTTGATTTTGGGGATCTTGGGGATTTGGATTTCATGGGAATTGCGACGGGCGGGATGCCGATGGACCAGCTTTGATTTGCTCGAGGGAGAGGGCGACATGATGGAGGGGCGAGGGCAAGTGAGCGGCGATGGCTTAATGAACTGCTTTCTGGGGCGGATTCTGGGTTGGGGGCACACAGTTTTCTTTTATTTTTCCCTCTCGCAAAAATGATGGAGGGGTATAGCATAAGAGGACTATTCGGGACGTGTATGAATGATACCTCAACTTTGGATAGCTGGAAGCCTGACTCAACGGGCAGGCAGAGAGAGTAGCAGAGTAATAGCAAAACAGCGGGAGAATAATTTACTCTAATATTCCCCAACAGATACCTTTCGGTCATACTGTGTAGAGACCCGTAGTCAACCTTACAACAATGTTGAGGTCTAAGAGTGCCGATGTGTTACTTTTCTTTAACGTTACACTAGATTTCCTTATGCTTGAAGGTAACATGCGCAAGGGGATTTCGAGGATATACTCAATGACAACTCGTTCTTCAAGTTACTCGAACAACCCATTGAACAGCTGATACACTACCTTGCTCAAAAGCCCTGAGCGGAGGTTGAGTGGCGCCTTTACTCCTCAACATCGAAAGACCACAGCCGTTTCAGTTGTGGTTGTTATGTGTTCAAAATTGCAAACATTCCCCATAGCCCGATTAGCTCAGCTGGTTAGAGCGTCGTACTAATACTGGTTACCCCTATATTTGGTATGCGAAGGTCAACAGTTCAATCCTGTTATTGGGCATTAATTTTAATTGTCTCACTGTCATAGATAGATAGCAAGGTCATTTTTGCTCCCTGTTCTCAAACAGCACTTCTCAAGAAACGTATGTGGCTTGCACTCAGTCTGTGTTCATCCCACGCTTTGTTAACAAGAAGCGTACGCCACATTGGAAGCGCCAGGTAATGTTTTTTTACCTCAATAAGTAGCTTAGGGTAGGCCGACGATAAGAAACGCCGTCCACCTCATGCCCATCTGCTCCTACTACTCTTCCCCGGGAAAGGAAAGGAAGGGGGGCGAGAGACCCGAAATATCACAGGTTATTTTTCTTCAAGCCACTTGAAAATACATTGAGCGGCTAATGCATTGATCAAGAGTCCTTAACCGGTCATGGGTGTCTGCTAAACTAGTCAATTCTCAAGCGACTCAATAGCACCAGGCGCTCCCGTCCTTCCCCCGAGCGATCCAGGGACCACTTCTGACTTTGCTTGGATGCCTACCTGCTTGCCTGTGGAGAAGGGCCGTGGTGTGGTTGGTAGGAGTTTGTGCCCTTCCACTGCGAGAGGAGTCGGACTGCACCGGCTTGTTGCAGTTAGTTAATGTTGACTTCGGCATCGCTATATCACATACGACCATACCTGGTAGAAAACTCGGGATCCCGTCCGCTCTCCCCTAGATAAGCTACCAAGGGCCAGATTGTCTAGGGGATAAGCCAAAACGCTACAAAACGGCCTCGACCTCGCCGTCGTCTGTTAGCATGGCCGTTCTTGCTGCGCCTATTTTGAAGCTGCGGCCCAGTCACTTAAGGCTGGGCCGCCCACCACAAGTCATCAGGCGCGTGAAACCCGCAAGTCTTCCCTGTCCTGCGATAACTCGACTTCTCTGCAAGGTTAACCCTATCGAGCAAAGATGCCCCAGCGTCGCGGTGTTGTTCTCGATAGACTGGCTAGCGTAGGCAACCGTACCGAACGGCAACGCAGAGCGGAAGAGGACGACGAACTGTTGTTGGACGGCGAGCTCGGCGATACACGGGTGGTATGCCGGAAGGAACAAGAAGAACGGGTTCGTGTATGGCAGTCGATGCGGCTGTAAGTACCTTCAGCAGCGATACTGTTGTCCACGGTGCGTTTAGTACGTTTGGCATTAATACGAGGCTTAGGTTCATCGAGACCTACAAGAAGCGAGACTTCAAACAAATCTGGCTCGATCTCTGCCAGGATGACCCGGAGGCAAAGGCTGCGATACGATCATACTTGCGCGATTATGTCGAGAATTCTCAAACAACCCGCCCCGTCCTCGGCGAACAGGAGTTCGAGTACGTCCAAACAATCACCTGCACGACGACAGTGATAACGCATTGGAAAAATCTGGTCGCGCATGCGGACAATATGATCCTGCGGCCGATGAGACGAGACGACCCCGACAATTGGCAGAAGTGGAAGTTGAGGTGGGATCGAGGCGAATCAAGTGATCGGCCTGTTGCCGATATCAGACAGGTAGGATGGATGGATAGAATTTATTTCGCCCGGAGGCACAGAGCCTAAAGGGCCTTGGCACGCTAAATACATACAATTCGTCCGTTTCTGTCGTGGTCTCGCACAAGCCCCTTGAGTTGTCCTTTGCGCAAAGCTTCCCAATACCTCTTGCCTCTTGCCTTGATTGTTAGCAGATCGGCTTGGAGGTTATGTTCTCCAAGTGTTCAGCGTCCCATCTTCAGCAGCTAAAGCGGGATCTGCTGGTTGAGGCTGTGTGGTGTTAGTGTAGTTCCCCTACTGTGACTGATTCAGTCTTTGTCTTTGCTCGTCGTCCACATCCAATCTCCCCATCACCATTGCGTACTTGATCGTTTCCCCGACTGCTTTCATGTCTGGCGACCACTCCTTTGGGTCGGATGGCGCTTTCCCTCCCAGATAGAATGAGGGGCTTCCTCGTCTTGCCACTGTGCATTGCAGCATGTCTTTCCTCAGAGCCGTCCATCTCACGCATCGGAACAGAAAGTGTTCCACTGTTTCCCTCGCCTGGCCACATGCACACATATCTGACTCGGTCGCTCCAATCCTCCTCAAAAAGCTGTTCAACCTCGTCATTCCGGTTCGGAGTTGCGCCAGTACGCAGGCTTCTCTTCGCTTCAGCTTGTCATAGAGATCGCGGGTGTGCTTGCCTGGTAGTGCCGCGTCCATGGCCTTCGAGAACTTGCCTACCCCCTTGGGGAGGACTCCTCCCTGTCGTTGCTTGGCTATTGCCAGTCTGATTGCAGTAGACTTGGCCTGGGGTATTTGGGAGTCGGGCGTGCGTCCTTGCCTCGTCGCCCTCTGCGCTGCCGCTTTAGCTTCTGCTCCCAAGGCGAAGTCGTTTTCCGCTGGTATCCACAGGAAGTCAACCGAGTTCCCTCTCTGTTGATGCAGCCTTGCCAACTCGTATATTTGCCGTATGGTGCCTTGGCCGGATTGTTGACGCGGTTGTTTGAGTGCTGCTAGCGCTGACTGGTTCCTGGTAACGATGGTGATGTGCCTGTGGCAAACGCCGGCCGGCCCTGGAAGCTAGAGCCGGTATTCCTCGCCTGTCACCTAGGCCCTGGAGCGGGCGAAGATCGGCATTGAGGGCTGCACCCTAAGTAACTTGCTAGGTATACAACAGAGCCCGCCACGGCTTACGGCGCTTCGTGGTCGTCACGCGTGCGTATGGGTTGTGCTTCCAGGGTTTGCACCTTAAGCAGGCCGCAGGAGGCACACTCGGCGGAGCAGAGAATAGGACGACACCACGCCAGCAAGCCGGCGGCCCGAGTGCGAGTCGGGTACGAACTGCCCGACCGAGACCCTCCCTTTTAGCCCACCGACATGCGCGTCCGTCCTCTCGAGCCAGCATACAGTCTCCGCGGGCACCCTGGGTAGCCAGGCAGGGGGACGACACCCCGCCAGTATTCACCCGACGACCTGAGTGCGAGTCAGGCCCTGCTAGCTCCTTGCCGTCTGGTCACTGTATCCTGCTACGGCCCACCGGCTACCCCAGGCAGCGAACCCGGGACCGGCTTCCCGTTGCCACGATTCGTCTCCGAAGGTGGCCGACCATGTTTCGCAGATCGAAGACGCAGCGTAGCCGCCATGCCGGCACGGCTACCCGCACTTCGTCCACTAACCTAACCAGCTTCCACCATATGATATTCGGCCGCGGTGCGCTGTGTCGTTGGGGGCGTGTCGTCGCGACACGCGGGTGGTTCGGGCTTTCTGTGATCACTTCCTTAACAGATCCGACAACCACCTGCTCCCCTCAGTCTTAAAAAATTCCATTACGTCCGAACAGAGCACTTAGGCTTCTTCTGAGTCCTCGGGACGCCGGCGCTTCAACACCCTTGTGCCACCTCACGCGGCGTCCTCCCAGAACCAGACTGGTTCGAGGGTGCCCTGTCCCGGCCACCAGAACGGCCCCGGGTCGGGTGGTTTTGCTAACCAAATACCTCTTGCAGCTCGTTAGCTTCGCTGATGATGCGCGACGCGATGCGGTGGTGGTTGGCCCGCGCTGTCCGTTCGTAGGTTTGAAGGTGTCGCGAAAAAATTGAACGACGGCCCTCCACCGGGGTTTGACGACGCGCCACCCACGCAACGCGCGCAAATCGCAGCTACTGACGCCGGACACCACGGGAAGGTCTGCTGCTTCGCACTACTGCTCTTTCAAGCAGTATCCGGTGTACTCACCGGAGGCGTATCTCTTTGAACGGTTAGAGCCTGCCTCGCATCACCACCCCCCAGACCCCACTGCGGTACCTACCACGATGTGTTCGGGTCAAACATCCAACTCAGGCAATCATTCGAGCCATATCCACCCTGCTTGTCGTTCTCGCCGCCACAGTTGCAGCTATCGACAGGAGTCTTGAGGTACAGTAGACACTCGTCAAAGTCAAAGGTCCATGCGCACCCCTCCTTGACCTCAAACGTCCAATGGATCTCCTCTCTCCCGCCGAACCTCAACGTGTTGTCAACCATGAAGGGCCCCTGCAGCTCGCCACCTTCGCGCTTTCGGCCCGAGACTCCGGCGTGCATCGCGAGGTGGTCGCACGCAGAATTGCGGCCGTTCTGCAGCCGAATGTTGCTCATCTTTTGCCCGCTATTGAAGCAGTGAACCTGGTTCTTGTTGGGATCGGCGCGGTTCATGATCGGGGTCGGGCTTGCGGTCGGGGTTGTGGGCGTGCTGGTTGCCGAGGTGGTAGTGGTGGACGTCTCCGGTAGCTCACACAACTCAATGACGTCTTCGAAGTCGCTGATGCTCGTGATCTGCGGCACGTCCCAGTTGAAGCCAAAGCCGTCGAGTCCGGGGCCCATAGGCATCTCGCCGGTGCGGTACCCGGGGCACTTTTGCGTTCTTTCAGAGTCCCAGTAGCTGGGGTTATTTGCCCACAACCGGCACATGTAAGATTGGGCTATGTCCTTGATCTCGGTGTTGGGGTCGACGGCGGCGGCGCGGGCCACCAGCGCCTGGGCCGGCCAGGCGCCCATTTGCGGGGGCGCCGCGCCGGGCCCGATGGACGGCGGCGTCGGGAAAGCCTCCGTGGGGCTGGCCGTCGAAGGCTTGCCGTCCGGGCCGCGATAGACGACGGCGGGCCAGTTGCTGGTCGTGGCGGGGACGGGCCAGACGGACCCAAACGCGGTGCGGCGCTTCAGGCCCCCGCCACCAGCACCACCCTCGCCCAGCGTCATGATCTCGAAGCCCAGCTTGGACAGGGTCATGGGCGGCACCGTGATGGTGCTCGTCCAGGCGCCCTGGCTGACCGTTATGAGCGGGAAGTTGACGACCGAGGTGGTGGCGCCTGTGTACGGGGGGAGCTTGACCCTGCAGGGCGGCTCGCACGAGAACCCGGGCTCGTCCATGTTCCAGATGTCGGGATGGATCCAGATGACGTCGTTGAACTGGGCGCCGTCGCTGGCAACGTCCAGGATCGAGATTTGCGACCAAAAGGGGTGCGCGTCCACGTTGAGGTTGTCCGTGGCCAGGATGCCCTGACCCTCCATGACGGCCATGTACTCGGTGCC